TGTGGCCCCTCGCAGCCTCCTAACAGCCCTGCCCTGCCGGGTATCTGCTGCCCTGACGTGTGGGCTGTTCCTGGTTTCTGCAGAGTGGATCTGCCGACTTCCAGCTGCTACTGCGCCCCACGGGCACTCAGTCTACCTGTTCTCTCTGCTTTTCTGGGTGTGTTGGCCCCGTGCCATCAGGGCATTGTCATGTGGAGATAGTTTGGAAGGGCACACAGTCAGTCCGTGTGGGCTGTTTCCCTTCTAAAACCTCATGCTACGGATCTCCCCCCGCCCCCGCATTTGCTCTGTCTTTATTAATTTATATACCTTTTTCTTTCTTTTTCTTTCTTTCTCTCTTCTTTCTCTCTTTCCCATCATTATGGTAGTTTAGGAAAGAAATGAAGATGAAGCCTAGCAGTCAATGCACATGCTTAGCCAGAGGTGCACCCTGGGCCTTCGGAGTTAACTGGACACAGTGCCATGTCCCTTTTACCAAGTACTAAAGGTGACCTTGACTTAGGAGTAGCCAAGTCTAGATAACAAATTATAAACAAAAAGTTGAATCTGGATTTCTGATTCTTTTGGTATTGGGTAGTTCTGTTTGTACTTTAAAAAAAGAAATTTTTACTTCTGAGAGAGAGAATCCCACACACAACAGGGTCCACATGCCATGACCCACCCCCAGCTCCAGCTGGCTCACACCACAGACACACACGTGTGCTCAGGGATGTCCTGGGCCTCAAACCCAGGACCTTTCCCACGTGGGTTTTTTTCCTGCTGCACCATTGCCTCTTCCCCTGTTAGTATTTCTTAGCATAAAGCACCTGCCTTTTTTTGCCTTGAGCAATTTTACCACTTTCAAACCAGCTTCCTTCAAAGTGGCTTCTCCCTTCATCTGCCCAGGGTGGCTGCTCTTGTCCACTACAATCTAAAAAAAGCTCAAGAGCCCTCATTTTATACCAGTTTCAGAGAAGCACTCTGCAAGCATAGATGCGGTATGCCTCCTGCACCGGGACCAGCCCTGTGTTTGGAGTGTAGCTATTGGTGGCACAGGTGGAAGGGCCCTGCTTCGTAATGCAGAGCCACGTGGAGGACTGTAGTTCAGACCCAGGGTGACCTGAGACATGTGGGGAGCACAGTGTGTCCCGGCCAGCTGGGAGGCCCGGGAGAGCTGCAGCGTGACGAGGCCCTGCTGAGGAAGCCTGTTTCTTCCTCCTTTTCAAGAACCCTCTCAGTGGTGCAGTCCGTAGTACCCAGACTGCAGAGATGGGAGCCGCATGGCAACTGCTGTTGGAGTCCCCCCTGTCTGATGGCCCTGGAAACATGCCAGGCATGTGTGCACACGCCCTGAATCCAGGCAGGTGGAGGAATAGAGAAAGGGAATCGCAGAATGGCCAGGCCCCGTGGTGGCTGCTCCTCTCATGCTTGTGCCTGCACATGTATACACATGCACATACCCTAGCCTGGACTTTTTAAAAAAGAAATACATGAATAATCAAAAAAAATCTTTCTTTTTTTCATAATAGTGTTGGATTTATAGAAAAGTTGCAAAGACAGTATAGAAAGTTTCTGGCTGCTCCTGTCCAGGTATCTGATTGTTATCATCGGACATCGCTGGGCACACTTGTCACATGTGAGGCACCGAGGACAGCACATAGCTCTGACCTGAGCCTCACTTTATTCAGATTTTGCTTGCTTCTCCCTCAGGTCGTTTTTCTGTCCTGCAGTCCCACCCCGTGTGCCCAACGGCGTTTAATCTTCGTGTCTCCTCAGCCTCTTTGGCTTGTGATGGCTTCATGCTTTCCTGAGCGTGGATGATCCGAATCGTCCTGAGGAGCCCTGGCCAAGCGTTTTGCAGAACGTCCCTCCTTTGGGTCTGTTGTGTGTTTTCCCCATGGTCGGAATGGATTGTGGAGGGAGGCCACAGAGGCTGGTGCCCCTCACCTCATAGCATATCCAGGGGACCCCTCCCAGCCTGGCCTCTCCTGGGTCCCTGAGCTCGCCAGCTGCGGCCCTTGCACCGTCTGCTCCTCAGGAGCCAGTCACGGGGTGCAGCCCACGCCCTGGAAGTCGGCGGGGGGCAGGGGTGGTGGTTAAGCTGTACCTCTGCGGGACTCACCCCACCCTTTCTGCAGTTTACAAACTCACCAGTGACTGAGCTGGCTCGAGCTTGCAGAGGGCTACGGTAGATACACAGGCATTGTCCTCTGTGTGTGTGTGTGTGTGTGTGTGTGTGTGTGTGTGTGTATGGAAACATCACCGATGAAGACAAAGCCAACTTGTGCTCCACTACCCCCAACATCCTTCCTCCTAAGATAAAATAATTGTCTCTTTCTCAGAAACAACTCTGACCTCATGGCAATGTTTTTTTTTTTTTCTTTTTCCCCAAAAAAGCAGCATATTAGATCTCCTGGCAGTCATGGGTGGGCTTGGGGTCAAAGAGCCAATTTAGGCTTCGATGTGGATTTCAGAACATTATTAGCTATGCATGTGTGTTCGTGTGTGTGTGTGCATGTATGCGTGTGTGTTGGGAAAGTGTTCAGACTATGTCATATGTTCTGGCATTAAAGCCTAAGCAGGGGTCCAGCTGGTGCCATGGTGGTTAAGGCACTGGATCCCACATGGCCACCTATACTACAGTTCACTCCAAGTGCATGTGTACGTGTGTGTGCCCAAAGTCCCTAGAGGAGAATGAAGGAGAAGGGGTTGCGGGGTGGCCAACCCCTCAAGAGGTGATTTCTCTCTCTTGCTCCCTCTCTCTGGTGAAAAAAGAAGAAGAAAAAGAAGAGCCTAAGCAGGGACACTGACAGCCAGTGAAGCGTGCAGGGTGAAGGCACCCCACCTCACAGCCCCCCGTGCCTTGTCTTCAACGTGTGGAAGACGGGTAGCATTTCTGGCACCTCCCATCTCACCAGGCTCTTCGGGGCTGATGGACCAGCATCTAAGAAGTTCCACACACCCTCAGCCTACTTAGGAAGACTGTGTTCAGGCGATGCCAGCAGCTCTGCAGTCAGCCTCATCCACAGATCTTCAGCTTCTCCAGAACAATCACGCGGGAGGGCGAGGTCTACATGAAGGCATGCACTTTTTTCCAGCACCAGCCAGCTTGCGGTCGAAGCCCTTAGGAAACCCAGAACCTACCCTGGTCCAGGTGGCAGCCCCAAGAGCATACCTGCCCTTCACTCGTGTCCCCTGGAGTGGCCGGTTCTCCCCCTCCGCTAGCTGTAATGGCTGGGGGGTT